GTTTTTTTTTTTTTTTTTTTTTTTTTGAAAAATTCATAAAATAATTTATTGGTTGCGTGATTAGAAGAGAACAAACTTTAAGAGAAAGCACGACCAAAGTTTAAATTATGTGAAGGAGTACGATTATATAAAAATTTAAAAAGAAGTAAACTAGTTAAACAATTTAGCATTTTCCATTAAAAAAATAAAACTATTTGGCATTTTTTCTAGAATTAGCCAATATAGAATTAGCTAACCAAACTATTTAGCTAATTCTATTGAATACCAAAATTTTTATTAAGCATCCTTAGCAATATCATTAGTTGATTAAGGACGCAATAAAAAATTTAAAATTAGATTAACGAGCGATAAGCTCTCAGATTAACTAATCGTCCATCGTATAAAACATTCGTAGCTTGCTTATTGAAGTCAATCCACCTCAATCCCTATGGATTGAAGTTCTTCATACATATGTCTATCTCATAAATTGCCTGCCCACTTGCTCTCTACATCAACACAACCCATATCACATCCTATATAAAAAATCGACCACATATAATCACCTCAAAATTGTCAATTGCTTGTGTTATCCTTGGCTATGTCCTTATTCCACCACCAAACTATCACCTCTTTGCATTCCCAAACTATCACCTCTTTACATTTATTGTGTTTTCACCGACTACGCCTCTTTCAAAAGTATTATCGTTGTCTCAACCCAAAAGTCGGTCAAGTCTACATCTCTAGACATGTGATATTCAATGAATCCATCTTCCCATACCAACAAGCATCCTCCAACACATCATCCAATTCCTATCAAAATTTCATCCCACCTCTCATACTTGTTCCTACTTCAACCATCAATACAAGAAGCTCCACTTATCTCATTACTCCTGTGATGCCCCGAGATTTAACTTGGAAAGAATGTCAATCAATTCCCAAACAATTTACCAGAGTTATCTAAAACCTTCAATAAGTATCCTTGGCTATGTCCTTATTCCACCACCAAACTATCACCTCTTTACATTCCTTGTGTTTTCACTGACTACGCCTCTTCCAAAAGTATTATCGTTGTCTCAACCCAAAAGTCGGTCAAGTCTACATCTCTAGACATGTGATATTCAATGAATCCATCTTCCCATACCAACAAGCATCCTCCAACACATCATCCAATTCCTATCAAAATTTCATCCCACCTCTCATACTTGTTCCTACTTCAACCATCAATACAAGAAGCTCCACTTATCTCATTACTCCAACTCAAAAATTTTTTTGATCTCGCTTTCTCCTCTAGGATATCATCAGTGAGATACGATCGATAATCCGTCAATCGAATAGTACCATCAAAGATCAACTTCTTCTTAGTGATTATATGAACGAAATCTCTTGATGCTGGAAGCCTTGATGAAGACCTTGATGATGATGACATTATAAGCTAAATATGAACTTCAATTAGTACTAACTGTCCAATAAAATGATTAATACATAAATCATAATATGGTAAATCTTAATTTTATTGTGTAATTAAAAAAATTTATGAACAACGAGAAGTAGCATTAATTAATAAACATTCTTGTTGAGTAGCCATTACAAATTAACTTTAAATAAAAAATATTAGAAACTGACATAATATCTAAGAGCATAATCCAACAAAACAATACATAGCTAACTCTATGTAGATCTAAAAAAAAAGTAAACAAGAGCATCCACATTATGTTATATATTCCTAAGTAGATACTACACACAAGCTTGGAGCTGTGTTTGTGTAGAACAACATTTAAAGTGGAACTCAAATTCTTGTTGAACTTGCTGCCAATCTTGTTTATTTAGAAAATCCTTTTTCTTTCAAAACATCATATGAGCATTTTATAGAAATCTAGAAGACATTGATCATGTGCATGATACAAATAACGATATAAAATACAATGACCTATGTGAAGCATGAACCTAAGACAGCTTGGTCAAAATTTTCAAACTCTTAAGTATAACTGATTCTAATCCAACAAACTTATGAGTTCCAAAAAATAAATTTGATATAATGGATTTTGATGTCAAATGAGATAATTTTTTGCTTCACAACTATCTAGGAGAAGAGAAACTTAAATAAAAATAATTTGAAAGTCTGAAACAATCTCCTATCTAATAACAATGGAAACCCAAAAGGTGTTTGTTAGTAATGTATTATGAGAAGAAAATAGAGTGGTTAATGTTAAAACCACGTACAATAGAGAGCTGAACCAATAAGCTATTGAGGGATTGCATATTGAATGCTTTGGCTTTTCTAAATATAATGAGATTATCACCATAGACATTATGAGAGATATGAAAATTACCTATAGTAATGTCTAGATAAGACCATCATTTATATGGAGATCAAGGTTTAAAAAGGCGAAATCACGAATCAAGGCGTTTTGCCTTAGCGGCACCTCGAGGCAGATCTAGGCAGGTGTAATAGAAAAATAAAAAAAATTATTTACTTAAAAATAATTCATAAAAATGATTAAAAAAAATAACACATCAAATTATTTATTTGACTCATCCTCAAAGATATATACAACAATTTTTTTTTTTTTTTGGGAAAATTTGGGCAGGAGCCCGTATATTAATCAAGACTAAAACAGTTACAAAAATAATACAGCTTCTAAGCAGAAGCTAGCTCAATAAGAGCACAAAAGGAACAAAAAATTACATCCATTGTGACAAAAAAGAAGAGCCGGATGCAAGCCAAAAAAGCTGCCTACAAGCTGCGATCAACAGCGTCAGATACCTGAAAATTTCGAATAAGCAAAAGATCAAGAGAAATCTGCCAAAAAGAATTCAGAAAAAAAGAGGCCAAGGACTCATATTGATTGCTCGATCTACCAAACGAATAACCCTGGTTGCCCGAAGGCCGTCCAAGGGGCCTGCTAACGGGTACATCATTGTCTAAGGCCAAAAATACCCGCAGGCAATAAGCATGCCCCCAGCAACTGATATTAACACATATAGCAAGATCCGAATTGCCCATAATTAGAGAAATTCCAGCAGTCTGTAGTAATTCTTCCATTTTTTTAATTTTCACATGAATCGCTTTGTTAATAAGAAGAGCAGTAGTAATGGAGCTGTTGCTAACATTCCCAAATCTCCTATTGTTACGTTCTTTCCAAATAAAGTAGGTGCAGGCATTAGAAATAAGCAGATAAAATTCTTTTAGCTGACCATTAGAAGAGTAATATTCACCAATCCATTCCAGTAAGTGCAGCAGTGACGGTCTGATCAACAAGCCATTAGATAAAGGCAGAAGACGGGTGATAACAGCGTATGAGTAAGAGCATTCAAAAAACAGGTGGGAAGTAGATTCAGGAAAACAATGACATAACCCACAAGTGGATGGAACACAAATATTCCTTTTAATTAACGCGTCAGCGGTTTTTAGCCCTCCCATCACAGCCAACCAAGAGAAAACAGAGTATCTCAATGCACACTTATTATGCCATATCAGATGTGCCCAAGCACGGGTGGTTTCCTGCTGATAATAACCATCCATGTAAGCTCTAAAAGATCCAGAGTCAACATAATCCCAAAGAAGACATATATCAGAATTTATACTGATACTTAATGCTGATACAATGTCCAATATAGAGGTGTGTAAATTCCTAGGAAGATCCCAGGAGCTCCCAGAAATGATAGAACTTATATTAGCATCCCAATTCACAGCATTTAGTAAAGTTTCCCCATGATTAATGTCAGACAAGGTGGAGCCATTAACCCAATGGTCCCAATAGATAGAAATTGGAGCCAAGTCATGAATCCTAAATTTGAAAAAATGTTTTGCAATAACAGCCGTCTTACAGATACTTTTCCAAAACTTAGAGTCTTGAGAGGAGGGAGGTCTCCAAGGGGAGATGTATTTTCTTCTCAGCCAAATAGACAAGTTAGAGCAAGTATTATACATTCTCGAAATAACAGCACAGTTAAAGGAAAACATGATAGCGTTAAATGAGGGAATACCTAAACCCCCACAAGACAATGATTTACAGATATTCCCCCAAGAAATCATGTGCATCTTTTTGCTACCAACCGGTTCTCCAAATAACAAAAATTTTGAGGAGTATTTGTTCAGAAACTTAATAAGAGTTTTAGGTATAATTGATCCTCTTATCCAGTATGCAATAGAATTCAGAATCGTAAATTTTAAAAACTGTAACCTTCCAGCAAAGGAGAGAAGGTTAGCCTTCCAACCCGACATCTTATAACAGATGGAATCCATTAAAGGCAGAAAGTCAGACACCTTCAGAGTGCAAAAAGAAAGAGGAATTCCCAGGTAAGTTATCTTAGAGCAAATGTTGGAGATAGAGAGAGCATCACAAATTTCTTTCTGACTACTAACATTCTTGGTAAACATTATGCTACATTTATCCAAATTAATGTGCAAACCGGTTGAGTGGGAAAATGCCTTTAGAATATCAGAAAGCATGAAAGCATTCCTAACGTTGGCTTCACCAAAAATTATAACATCATCAGCGTACAACAGGTGAGTAATGTTAAAATCACCATGAGTATACCCCTTGAAACCTCCAGCATCCAAAGAAGATGACAGAGCATCCATGACAATGCAAAATAAAAGGGGACTGAGGGGGCAGCCTTGCCTCAAACCTACCGAGGAAGGAAAATACCCCTCAAGTGCCCCCTTGATAATGACAGAGAAATTAACATCATAAATACAAGTCTTAATCCAATTTACCAGCCTGAGGGGAAAACCTTTCTGCATCATCCTTGCAATAAGAAACTCTCTTGAAACAGTATCAAAAGCCTTACGAATGTCAATCTTAGCACAAAAAAGCTTTTTGCCATTTCTAAAACAGGATGCTAAAATCTCTTTGGCTAATAAAATGTTATCAGTAGAGACTCTTGTTTTAATAAAACCAGCTTGATTTTTGCTAATGATAATAGGCATGATGGGAGCAATTCTATTTGCAATAATTTTTGCAATAACTTTATAAATGACATTACATAATGCTATGGGACGAAAATCAGTAATACCGGCCAGCAGCATGCTTATGCTTAGGAATAAGAGCAAGAGCAGTGGATTTCACCCCAGTAGGCATATAACCACTAGTAAAGAAGGAGCTCACTGCTTTAGTGAGGAGAGGGCCAATAATCAACCACCCAGTCTTATAAAAATGAAAGTTAAAACCATCTGGCCCTGGAGAAGATGTGGAAGATCCCGAAAAAATAGCTTTTTTAATCTCATTAACATATACCGGCAAAATGAGGGTGGGGATAAGATGAGCAGAATACAGGATCCAGTAGGAAAAAAACCACAGCTCTCCGGAGAAATCAAAGTAGGGTTATAAAGATCCTGAAAATGATGAATAATACCTTGAATTCCCTCCAGAGAAGAGTTGGAGAGAGATAAGTTCACTACAGTTTGCAATTTATACCTTCTGCTTCTAATTTTTGCAAAAAGAAATTTCAAATCCTCCTCCCCATTCTTCAGCCAATTAACCTTTGCTCTCTGAGAAACCCAAGAAGTCAACATGCCTGTGTAATCCGAAATTTTACCGTTAACTTCTTTAAGTGAGGAATTATAAGAAATGTTAAGGGTATCTAACTGAATCCTATTCATCCAGAAATTTGCTCTTTGTGAAGATCATCCAATTTAGAATTGATATTAGAGAAGTGCGCCCATTTCTCCTTCCTAATGATCCCTTTGAATTGCTTGAGTTTCTTGCAAAAAGTTATAAAGGGATTACCATTTGCAGGAGTGGAAAAGATCTCAAGGAGGAGTCCCCAATAACTATCAAAATTAGTCCAGTAATTCTTAAAAAGAAATCTATGTTGAGAAGTGGAGAGCTCGCCAGGATGCAGAATTATTGGACAGTGATCAGAACAAGAAGGATTTTGGAAAGAGCAGAAGGAATTCGGAAAAAAGGCACCCCACGCATTGTTCACCAAAGCTCTGTCCAGTTTAATATGTATAGGATTGTCCAAACGTTTATTAAACCAAGTGAGTTTATTGCCCACCGACGCTAAGTCAAAGAGACAATTATCAAAAACCATAGCATTAATGTCAGCTAGCGCTCTGCTAGACAAAGGAGCGCCCCCAACTTTTTCATGAGTGAACCTGCAGCAGTTAAAGTCTCCCAGCAAGATCCAAGGAATATCAGGTGCAGGAGCCGAATTGTAAATATGGGACCAAAGAGACTGACGTTCCTCATTACTATTCGAAGCATATATAACTGAAATATAAAATTTGGTAATACCACTACCGAAAACAAAACCAGAGATAATCTGGGAGGAATTAAATGAGGGTTGAAAATGGATCTTTTTAGCATTCCATTTCATCCAAATTCTACCAGACGTTGCGAGTGCAAAATTATGACAGCTACCTTCCGAGGGGAAAACAGAATGAGTTAATTCAAAATAAGGGTCTTGAAGAGAAGAAAGGAGAATGCGATTCTCTAAAATGCATAACATATCAAGTTTGAAAGAGTCAACCAAACGCTTGCAACATAAGACCTTATCAGGGCGATTAAAACCCCTGATATTCCAGACGCCAAGAGGAGGCAGATTCATTTAGACTTTGGGTGTGGAGGGGGCTTTTTACCCTGCTTCCCCCTAGCAGGTTTTTTTGAAGAAACAGAGTTGTCTACTTGAGTTTGCTTCCCCTTCTCTTTTATAATATCACTAACCAAAATTTCGCTATTAACATGAGAGTCCGATGAGGAGCAGGAGTCCTCCTGCTGTTGAAGAACGTCAAATTTGTTGGGAGATACAGTAATGGTGGGGGGATTTGAAGTTTGGGCAGGGATAATGTTGAAGATAGGGGAATCTTATCCATTAGGAGAATTCAGGTTGGGAATTAAGGTATCCAAAGAACCAGAGCCTTTCACCAAATCGCTGGGAAAAAAGTCTTCTTTTGTAATATTTTCTGGCGCAGCTATTTCAGCTTGGAACTTAACAGAGGAAGTGGAGTCAACGACCAAAGCAGAGGGAGGAGCCTTGGGTGAATGGGGTTGGTAAAGAAGGATTTGACTTGACTGTGAGGAGCTTGTGTCAAGATCATGACTTACAGGATTCAGAACTGAAGGCGGAATATTAAATTCATGGGGAGCAAATTTAGGTATTGAGTCTTGATCCGGCAGAGAGGATGACTTTGGGGTGGGGAACCTTCTGTTGTTTGGCTTTCTGCTGAAACTTCTCCCCCTAGATTGTCGTTCTTTTGAGACAGCCTCACGAGGATTCTCAGAATGGACATTTGAAGATTGCGATTTGTTAGGACAAGAGGCAGCGAAGTGTATTAAAGACTTACAGTGAATGCATGGAGTAGGCCTCCACTCATATTGCACTCGCAGAGTGACAACATCGCCGTCTAGCGACTCAGTGATTTCATCGGGATACTTTGCATCTTTTGTCTACCAGAACGCAGATTCTGGCAAACGTGAGTCTTGTTCTCTGCGAGGTGAGATCGTCCGCAGCAACCGGAATACACACTTTGCTCGCAATTATGGAAATGCCTTCCGAGTTCCAGCATGCAAGTGGTAAATCATGGATTTTAATCCAGATCGGAACAGAGGAGAAGTCCTCCTTGATTGGCTTGAACTTTGGATGCCACTTCTGAAGAATAAATGGTTTGCCTAACAAAAACCAGACCCCTTTAGCCAAAACCATCTCAAAATCTTCCATGCAAGTAAATCTAAGCAAGAAGAAACCATCGCTGAGTGAGAGGAGTTGAAGAGAACCCTTTAAAGCCCAGGTTTTTTTCATAGCGCCCAGTAAAGCTTCGTAGTAAGGCCTGCGGCCAATGGAGTAGCCCACTAGAGAAAGGTTCCAGGATTCAGCACCTTTTGCAAGCTTCTCGTCAGAAAAAGGAATGATTTCCGACTCGAAAGGGTGATACGAGAAATGAAGGTCAACTAACTTTGGATCAGTGGGAGCAAAAAAATGCTTCCAAAGTCGGTGAGGAGAAGAAGAGGATGATTTCCCACCAGGGAGAGGAGGAAACTCCATGAGGGATGAGGGGGAACCATAATCCTCCGGCCAAGCTGGAAAAGGAGGAAGAACAAAGCGGCGGGAGGAAAACCCTAAGAAACCCAGAGCGTTTCGCATAAACCGACACCCTATTCTTCACAACAAATTTTTATAAAATAGAAATTTGAAACAAAGTTCATAGTAAATACTCATTTAAAATTATATAAACTATAAGGATCAAGAATCACGACAGGATTTATCTTTAATTTCATGATCTTCATAATAACTTTCATATGTAATAACTATATCATCCTCGAATTCTATTTCATTATCACCATCAACACCTTCTTCAATTACAAGTGGTTTGAATGCAATATAAAATAAGAAATAAGTTAATAACACACTAAAGTAATACATTATATGAAAATCTCAATTTGAATTTTTTTTTTAACTTAAGCCCAACTTTACTCTTTCTTTAAAATGACTATAAAGTAAAAAAAAAAAACTATAAAGTAAATAATATTTAAAAACTTAAAAAAAATAAAAATAAGAAGATTATAAAGTAAAAACTATTATCATTTTGATAGTCATTTTAACATTAACATTAATATCTGCATTCTCTTCATTATCAAAGATGTTCCTCCATCTTCAACAATAATTTTTTTTAGTATTTTTTGCTATAATGCATTCATCTTCCAATCAAAGGATTTATTTCATCATCACCAATTATTCTTCATTATAAATTGAGATGTTTATCTTTATTTTTTTTATTAAACATAACACAATCATCCAACTTAGTTCATTCATTCTATAACTAATTGGTTTATTCTCTTCATATAATAGAATAAAATTAGGGCAACCTTTCTCTGCAAAATTTTTGATACAGAATTTGTTGATAGAGTTAATTTATAATAGTAAAGAAATGTTATGACGACAGCCAAGATTGTCATTTCCTATTATTTATAGCTAAAATTTTTGATACACAAACATATGCATAATACACAATCTATTACCAAAAAAATATATAACAAATGTATTGATCACTATAGTGCAATTATAAATTAAAAAATGATGGGGTTACCAACTTCCTTACTATCCGCGCTTGAAAACTTGCATCCAAGAAACGGTTCGCTTGCCTGCGCCTGTCTAGATCTAACAATTAAAAACACCATTACAAAATTCATTAAAACTAATAACAATTGACATAAAAATATTTTACTTATATTTGATAAGAGAACATATAAATGAGACTTAAATACAACATTACACGGACCCTGAACTATTACCACAACCTAACTATATATAATTTCATAAGGTTCATAAACTTTACACTGATTTAAGGTACCTCCTTAACCTTTAATTTCTAAGTTAAAATATACACAATATATTCTTCAAACCTTCTCTTTAAGAAGACTTAATACAGTGATATATCTTTATGGTAATACGAAGTGGTCTTGGTGGAATCGAACCACCACCCTCCCAAATTTCTGAATGGCAACTGCTGCCAACAAAATTTTGAGCGCTCTTTCCATTTAGAGCTTAAAGACCAAGCAAGTTCATCACAATTTCAATACTAAATCTCAATAAAACATTCTAAATGTATATTTTCCATTTTATCCCATCCACGTCACACCAGCATCTACATTTAAACATATAACCCAACTAAAAAATATTAACGAAAGTAGATTTTTAAAAAAAATCTGCTCAATAATATTAATTATAACCAATAAAACATTAAACATATTCGCCAATTCAACACAAAATTTCGTTGCAAGCATGTTCTAATTATAAAAACATATTTACTATTATCCAATTACTATTGCATGCCTAGTTCTCACAAAGTAACGTGGCAGGCAAAATTCATTTGAAATAATTATTAAAATACGTAACCATAGGCCATTCATTATAAAGACGAACGGCCTTAACAAAAGAGATTAGTAGGTGCGGACCCTGGAAGATTCTAGAATGTAAATTTTCTTTGAAAAATCAGAATGCCCCGAATCCGCACCCGAGCGTAATGATCTCTCCTAACAAGAACGAGCATGAAACTGAGCTAACTTAATTTGGAAGACAATAATTTCAAAATTGCAAGTTTGTAGAATGTAGCAAAATTTAAAGATACGCATTTCTAAAAGAAGATTAGAACTCAAAATACTAAACAAGTTCATTTCCAATAACATAATACTTCACAACAACGCAAAAAACACAAGTAAAAAACTTAAAACAAGAAAATATCAAAAGAAAATTTAAATTTCTTAGTAACACTTAAACAATTAAGAAAAAATACTATTGAACCGTAGAAAAAAAATAAGAATTATCCATACCAAGTCAGCTTCCAGCATGTTTCAGGGCAAAAAATTAAAAAACAATGACCAAACCACTAATAAACATACGTAACAGTTCAAATAAATTAACCACAATTGAGAATTAAGTAAATAGATAAAAACTTCACTTAGTTTCCTTGATGATGAGCCAAGGAATAAAATCCATGTGTTGTGATCGTGTTCTCCACTGTCTTCAAGCTTAACAGTCTTGCATCAGGACGCCCTAGATAAGTTCCGAGTCTTC